AAGTGTTGAGTCGATTAATTTTTGGTTTCCTTGAACTTCAAAACCTGACTACAATTACCTCTGTTGTAAATTGTCAAATACAAGGCACCGTGGCTTAGTAGGTTAATGCTGTCTTATAAACACAAGATCCTGGGCTGAAATCCCAGTGGTGCCTTAATAAAATGCATCTTTTCTTCACAAAAAAATTTTTGGGATCTCATCATTGACAAAATATAATTAAATAATTTTTCTTGTAGCTTAAAACCTGACTACAGTTAGGTGTCTCTTATTTGGGATTTTCCCATTTCTTTTCCTGCGGGCGCAGAAGGAGTGACAGAAAAACAGTGGGGCTCTGTGGCCCAATGGACAGCGCATTGGACTTCTAGGACAGAAGAAGGCATTTAAAGGTTGTTGGTTCGAGTCCCACCAGAGTCATCAGTTTGCATTCTAAGTAAGTGTTGAGTGAATTAATTTTTGGTTTCCTTGAAGCTCAAAACCTTACTACAATTACCTCTGTTGTGAATTGTGAAAGACAAGGCACTGTGGCTTAGTAGGTTAAAGTTCCTGTCTCCTAAACAGGATATCATGGGTTTAATTCCCAGCGTTGCCTCATAGAAATAAATCTTTTCTTCACAAAATAGATTTTGGGATTTCATCATTGAGAAAATATAATTACATTATTTTCCTTTTAGCTCAAAACCTGACTACAGTGACCTCTGATGTAAATTGGCAGAAATTAGGCACTGTGGCTTAGTTGGTTAAAGTGCCTGTCTTGTAAACAGGAGATCCTGGGTTCAAATCCCAGTGGTGCCTTAACAAAATACATCTTTTCTTCACAAAATAACTTTTGGGATTTCATCATTGATTAAATATAATTAAATAATTTTCCTTGTAGCTCAAAACCTGACTACAGTTACCTCTGATGTAAATTGGCACAAATAAGGTGCTGTGGCTTAGTTGGTTAAAGTGCCTGTCTCATAAACAGGAGATCGTGGGTTCAAATCCCAGTGTTGCCTTAATAAAATACATCTTTTCTTCAAAAAATAATTTTTGGGATTTCATCATTGATTATTCATTCATTCATTCATTTATTTTCCATTCCCGCTTATTCCCTTTCAGGGTCACGGGGGTCTGCCGGTGCCTATCTCCGGCACACATTGGGCGAGAGGCAGGGGTACACCCTGGACAGTTCGCCAGTCCATCGCAGGGCAACATTCACACACACACATGCACACCTAAGGGGTATTTTAGATTAGTCAATTAACCTAACCGCATGTTTTTTGGGATTGTGGGGGAAACCGGAGTACCCGGAGGAAACCCACGCAAGCACAGGGAGAACATGCAAACTCCTTCCAGGAAGGTCACCGGCGAGCCTTGAACCGACAACCTTCTACCTGGAAGGCCACAGTGCTACCCACTGCGCCACTGTGCTGCCCCATCATTGATTAAATATAATTAAATAATTTTCCTTGTAGCTCAAATCCTGACTACAGTTACCTCTGATGAAAATTGGCACAAACAAGGCACTGTGGCTTGGTTGGTTAAAGTGCCTGTCTAGTAAACAGGAGATCCTGGGTTCAAATCCCAGCGGTCCCTTAACAAAATACATCTTTTCTTCACAAAATAAATTTTGTGATTTCATCATTGAGAAAATATAATTACATTATTTTCCTTGTAGCTCAAAACCTGACTACAGTTACCTCTGATGCAAATTGGCACAAATAAGGCGCTGTGGCTTAGTTGGTTAAAGTGCCTGTCTCGTAAACAGGAGATCCTGGGTTCAAATACCAGCGGTGCCTTAACAAAATACATCTTTTCTTCACAAAATAAATTTTGGGATTTCATCATTGAGGAAATATAATTACATTATTTTCCTTGTAGCTCAAAACCTGACTACAGTTACCTCTGATCTGAATTGGCACAAACAAGGTGCTGTGGCTTAGTTGTTTAAAGTGCCTGTCTAGTTAACAGGAGATCCTGGGTTCAAATCCCAGCGGTGCCTTAATATAATACATCTTTTCTTCACAAAATAATTTTTGGGATTTCATCATTGAGAAAATAAAATTAAATTATTTTCCTTGTAGATCAAAACTTGACTACATTGACTTCTGTTGTGAATTTGCACAAACAAGGTGCTGTGGCTTAGTTGTTATAGTGCCTGTCTAATAAACATTAGATACTGGGTTCAAATCCCAGCAGTGCCTCATAGATATACATCTTTTCTTCACAAAATAATTTTTGGGATTCCATCATTGAGAAAATATAAATAAATTATTTTCCTTGTAGCTCAAAACCTGACTACAGTTAGGTGTCTCTTAATAGCGATTTTCCCATTTATTGTCCTGCGGGCACAGAAGGATTGACTGAAAAGCAGAGGGTCTCTGTGGCGCAATGGACAGCGCATTGGAATTCTAGGAGAGAAGAAGGCATTTAAAGGTTCTTGGTTCAAGTCCCACCAGAGTCATCAGTTTGCATTGTAAGTAAGTGTTGAGTCGATTAATTTTTGGTTTCCTTGAACTTCAAAACCTGACTACAATTACCTCTGTTGTAAATTGTCAAATACAAGGCACCGTGGCTTAGTAGGTTAATGCTGTCTTATAAACATTAGATCCTGGGCTCAAATCCCAGTGGTGCCTTAATAAAATACATATTTTCTTCACAAAATATTTTTGGGGATTTCATCATTGAGAAAATATAATTACATTATTTTCCTTGTAGCTCAAAACCTGACTACAGTTACCTCTGATGTAAATTGGCACAAATTAGGCGCTGTGGCTTAGTTGGTTAAAGTGCCTGTCTCGTAAACAGGAGATCCTGGGTTCAAATCCCAGCAGTGCCTTAACAAAATACATCTTTTCTTCGCAAAATAATTTTTGGGATTTCATCATTGATTAAATATAATTTAATAATTTTCCTTGTAGCTCAAAACCTGACCACAGTTACCTCTGATGTAAATTGGCACAAATAAGGCGCTGTGGCTTAGTTGCTTAAAGTGCCTGTCTCGTAAACAGGAGATCCTGGGTTCAAATCCCAGCGGTGCCTTACTAAAACACATCTTTTTTTCACAAAAGAATTTTTGGGATTCCATCACTGTAAAAATATAATTAAATTATTTTCCTTGTAGCTCAAAACCTGACTACAGTTACCTCTGATGTAAATTGGCACAAACAAGGCGCTGTGGCTTAGTAGGTTAAAGTTCCTGTCTCATAAACATTAGATCCTGGGTTCAAATCCCAACGGTGCCTTAATAAAATCCATCTTTTCTTCGCAAAATAATTTTTGGGATTTCATCATTGAGTAAATATAATCAAATTTTTTTCCTTGAAGCTCAAAACCTTACTACAATTACCTCTGTTGTGAATTGTGAAAGACAAGGCACTGTGGCTTAGTAGGTTAAAGTTCCTGTCTCCTAAACAGGAGATCTTGGGTTTAATTCCCAGCGGTGCCTCATAGAAATACATCTTTTCTTCACAAAATAGATTTTGGGATTTCATCATTGAGAAAATATAATTACATTATTTTCCTTGTAGCTCAAAACCTGACTACAGTGACCTCTGATGTAAATTGGCACAAATTAGGCGCTGTGGCTTAGTTGGTTAAAGTGCCAGTCTCGTAAACAGGAGATCCTGGGGTCAAATCTCAGCGGTGCCTTAAAATACATCTTTTCTTCACAAAAAAATTTTTGGGATTTCATCATTGTTAAAATATAATTAAATTATTTTAGCTCAAAACCTGACTACAGTTAGGTGTCTCTTAATTGGGATTTTCCCATTTCTTGTCCTGTGGGTGCAGAAGGAGTGACTGAAAAGCAGAGGGGCTCTGTGGCGCAATGGACAGTGCATTGGACTTCTAGGTGAGAGAAGAAGGCATTCAAAGGTTGTGGGTTCGAATCTCACCAGAGTCATAATTTTCGTATTTTAAGTAAGTGTTGTGTCGATTAATTTTTGGTTTCCTTAAAGCTCAAAACCTGATTACAATTACCTCTGTTGTGAATTGTCATAGCAAGGCACCGTGGCTTAGTAGGTTAAAGTCCCTGTCTCATAAACATTATATCCTGGGTTCAAATCCCAGCAGTGCCTCATAGAAATACATCTTTTCTTCACAAAATAATTTTTGGGATTCCATCATTGTAAAAATATAATTAAATTATTTTCCTTGTAGCTCAAAACATGACTACAGTTACCTCTGATGTAAATTGAAACAAACAAGGCGCTGTGGCTTAGTTGGTTAAAGTGCCTGTCTAGTAAACAGGAGATCCTGGGTTCAAATCCCAGCGGTGCCTTAATAAAACACATCTTTTCTTCACAAAAGAATTTTTGGGATTTCATCATTGAGAAAATCTAATTAAATTATTTTCCTTGTAGCTCAAAACCTGACTACAGTTAGGTGTCTCTTAATTGGGATTTTCCCATTTCTTGTCCTGTGGGCGCAGAAGGAGTGACTGAATGCAGAGGGGCTCTGTGGCGCACTGGACAGCGCATTGGACATCTAGGTGAGAGATGAAGGCATACAAAGGTTGTGGGTTCGAGTCCCACCAGAGTCATCATTTTCGTATTCTAAGTAAGTGTTGTGTGGATTAATTTTTGGTTTCCTTGAAGCTCAAAACCTGATTACAATTTCCTCTGTTGTGATTTGTCATAGCAAGGCACCGTGGCTTAGTAGGTTAAAGTCCCTGTCTCATAAACATTAGATCCTGTGTCCAAATCCCAGCAGTGCCTCATAGAAATACATCTTTTCTTCACAAAATTATTTTTGGGATTCCATCATTGTAAAAATAAAATTAAATTATTTTCCTTGTAGCTCAAAACATGACTACAGTTACCTCTGATGTAAATTGGAACAAACAAGGCGCTGTGGCTTAGTTGGTTAAAGTGCCTGTCTAGTAAACAGGAGATCCTGGGTTCAAATCCCAGCGGTGCCTTAATAAAACACATCTTTTCTTCACAAAATAATTTTTGGGATTCCATCATTGTAAAAATATAATGAAATAATTTTCCTTGTAGCTCAAAACCTGACTACAGTTAGGTGTCTCTTAATTGGGATTTTCCCATTTCTTGTCCTGTGGGCGCAGAAGGAGTGACTGAAAAGCAGAGGGGCTCTGTGGTGCAATGGACAGCGCATTGGACTTCTAGGTGAGAGAAGAAGGCATTCAAAAGTTGTGGGTTCGAGTCCCGCAGGGTCATCATTTTCGTATTCTAAGTAAGTGTAGTGTCGATTAATTTGTGGTTTCCTTGAAGCTCAAAACCTGACTACAATTACCTCTGTTGTGAATTGTGAAAGACAAGGCACTGTGGCTTAGTAGGTTAAAGTTCCTGTCTCCTAAACAGGAAATCTTGGGTTTAATTCCCAGCGGTGCCTCATAGAAATACATCTTTTCTTCACAAAATAATTTTTGGGATTTCATCATTGAGAAAATATAATTACATTATTTTCCTTGTAGCTCAAAACCTGACTACAGTTACTTCTGATGTAAATTGGCACAAATAAGGTGCTGTGGCTTAGTTGGTTAAAGTGCCTGTCTAGTAAACAGGAGATCCTGGGTTCAAATCCCAGCGGTGCCTTAATAAAGCACATCTTTTCTTCACAAAAGAATTTTTGGGATTTCATCATTGAGAAAATATAATTAAATTATTTTCCTTGTAGTTTAAAACCTGACTACAGTTAGGTGTCTCTTAATTGGGATTTTCCCATTTCTTGTCCTGCCGGCGCAGAAGGAGTGACTGAAAAGCAGAGGGGCTCTGTGGCGCAATGGACAGCGCATTGGACTTCTAGGTGAGAGAAGAAGGCATTCAAAGGTTGTGGGTTCGAGTCCCACCAGAGTCATCATTTTCGTATTCTAAGTAAATGTTGTGTCGATTAATTTGTGGTTTCCTTGAAGCTCAAAACCTGACTACAATTACCTCTGTTGTGAATTGTGAAAGACAAGGCACTGTGGCTTAGTAGGTTAAAGTTCCTGTCTCCTAAACAGGAGATCCTGGTTTTAATTCCCAGTGGTGCCTCATAGAAATACATCTTTTCTTCACAAAATAATTTTTGGGATTCCATCATTGTAAAAATATAATTAATTTATTTTCCTTGTAGCTCAAAACCTGACTACAGTTACCTCTGATGTAAATTGGAACAAACAAGGCGCTGTGACTTAGTTGGTTAAAGTGCCTGTCTAGTAAACAGGAGATCCTGGGTTCAAATCCCAGCGGTGTCTTAATAAAACACATCTTTTCTTCAGAAAAGAATTTTTGGGATTCCATCATTGTAAAAATATAATGAAATAATTTTCCTTGTAGCTCAAAACCTGACTACAGTTAGGTGTCTCTTAATTGGGATTTTCCTATTTCTTGTCCTGCGGGCGCAGAAGGAGTGACTGAAAAACAGAGGGGCTCTGTGGTGCAATGGACAGCGCATTGGACTTCTGGGAGAGAAGAAGGCATTCAAAGGTTGTGGGTTCGAGTCCCACCAGAGTCATCATTTTCGTATTCTAAGTAAGTGTTGTGTCGATTATTTTGTGGTTTCCTTGAAGCTCAAAACCTGACTACAATTACCTCTGTTGTGAATTGTGAAAGACAAGGCACTGTGGCTTAGTAGGTTAAAGTTCCTGTCTCCTAAACAGGAGATCCTGGGTTTAATTCCCAGTGGTGCCTCATAGAAATACATCTTTTCTTCACAAAATAATTTTTGGGATTCCATCATTGTAAAAATATAATTAATTTATTTTCCTTGTAGCTCAAAACCTGACTACAGTTACCTCTGATGTAAATTGGAACAAACAAGGCGCTGTGGCTTAGTTGGTTAAAGTGCCTGTCTAGTAAACAGGAGATCCTGGGTTCAAATCCCAGCGGTGCCTTAATAAAACACATCTTTTCTTCACAAAAGAAATTTTGGGATTTCATCATTGAGAAAATATAATTACATTATTTTCCTTGTAGCTCAAAACCTGACTACAGTTAGGTGTCTCTTAATTGGGATTTTCCTATTTCTTGTCCTGCCGGCGCAGAAGGAGTGACTGAAAAGCAGAGGGGCTCTGTGGCGCAATGGACAGTGCATTGGACTTCTAGGTGAGAGAAGAAGGCATTCAAAGGTTGTGGGTTCGAGTCCCACCAGAGTCATCATTTTCGTATTCTAAGTAAGTGTTGTGTCGATTATTTTGTGGTTTCCTTGAAGCTCAAAACCTGACTACAATTACCTCTGTTGTGAATTGTGAAAGACA